TACAGAAAGACTTGAACAGCAAGGAGAAGGTAGTTTATTTTCATGAATATTGCATGGGCGCGCAGAGATAAGGAATTTATCTTTCAGTGTTCCATCGATATATCTCACGAGTAAGTAAAGCAAACAACTAGTAAAGATATTAATGAAATATGACAAGATAAAATATAATTAAGCTCAAATTTATCGTCTGCTTTGCTTACCTGTGAGATATCAATTATGAGATATCAATTAATGATTAATGAATTAATTGTCAACTAATCAATTAATTTATAAATGGTAAYTAAGCTGAAGCATGAACAGGGATTTCCAATTATTTCTAATAATAATTTAATAATAACGGTGGGAACTAGCAGTAAACTAGTGTGAGCTTCGTTAGTGTTTCTTAAAAGAAACAGTAAGTGTAAAAAGATCCTTCGTCAGAGGATTAATGTCCAAAACGTCAGTAAGTTATTTCAACTACTTTTTTTAACAACGTTAAGTTTATCTTTTCACACAACTGTATAATAATAACGGACTTATTTTTCCAGCAACACCAACAACTTGTCGACAAGATTGCTCATGGCGATGAAAAGATCGGCTCCTTCGCTGGAGACTCCAAGTCCTATGATTCGTACACAGAAGAGTGCTCTGGTGTCATCACAAATAAAGACATCTTGATACGACAACTGAGAATGGACTTGGAACAAGCCAGGAAACAACAGCAAAGTGCCGAAAGAAACTTACGGGAGTGTGAAATGGACCTGGTCAAACAAGATGGACAGATTGAGAAATTACAGGATGAAAAGACGTTCAGGACTTCAGATGTTTCAGCTAAAGACAGAAGAATCAAATTACTGGAGACACAGTTTAAAAACAGCAAAACAGAGGTATGAAGATTATTAAAATGTAACTATTGTTCTCTTTGTACAATCTTCAGGTCTATCTTAAAAGTTAGTTCAAGTTGTGCCTTTGCATTTTAGTCCGAAACAGTGGATGAATTTGCAATGATATATCCAATTTCCTTTGAATTATTYGTTCTTAGTGTAAAAACAGGAATCTATTTTCTGCAAGTGTCACAGATAGCGCTGAAAAGAAATATTTTATTACTACATTTTGAGGCGTCCAACCTCTATTAAGTGGTCACCTTAGAGAAAGTCCGGACGACCGCTTAATAGGGGTCGATCGTTTAATAGAGGGCAAGCTTACAGTCAAAATATATGAGAATCGGCTTTTGGAGAATTCATGAGTGACCGCTTAATGGAGGGTGACCGCTAAATAGAGGTTTGACTGTACTCTGATTGTCGTTATCAAACTTAAATGTATTTTCAATGTTCACTAGCTTGCTAGATGTCAGGAAGTGATCCGAGARCTTCAGAGCTCTGTCAGAACCTATAAAGAAAGCTCACGAACGGTTCCACCAGACCTGACGCATGAATATGAACAAAGAATCAAAAGACTTCAGGCAGAACTCGAAGCATCAGAAATGCAAAGAAAGCAGTCTGGGCAAGAATTAGCTACATTGCAGTCGAAGTTTCATGAAATTGAAATGTCAAGGCATGGACACCATGAGGTCATGACGCAAGAGGTAATGCAGTCAAAAGACATGATGCGCTCCCCCCGAATAGTTCGTTATTCAATGCATTATTGGATTTTTCATTTTATTTTTTTCGTTTTCAACTTCAGTTGATTAATGCAAAATTAAATTCAAATCTCGAACTCTGATAATGACAGAAAACAACACARCATTTCCAGCTTTTTGAGACCGTCATTCCTTTCTCACGAGAAGGAACAGATACAACCAAGTAAAAAACAGCATATTGCAATGCATCGACTTGTGGAAATTACAAAAGACCAGCATGTTTACAAGCGAAATACGAAGAATGCTTTACGAAAATACAATCAAATTTCGAATTTTGAATTCAAATTTGATTTCAATAATGTAATGTTGAATCGACCAAGAATCGAATAATGTTATGAATAATGGTGTTTTGAGGGATTTTGAGAGATTGTATTATAGCTTCTTATTACTACTATTAATTATCATTTCTACTTTTCTTTATCTCTTTGCTTCTTGCAAATCATCAGACCAGACAAAACAGCTTCCTTCACTTTCACTAAGCTTTTACAGTGCGATCTTTTCAGTTTCTTTCCCTTCCTTTTTTTCTTTCTTTCTCATTTCTTCCTTCGTTTTTCTCTTGGTCTTCTCTTCCTGTGCAAGACAGTGCAGGCTTGGATTCKCTGGTGATATCGCTTTTCAACGCATGGCTAATATCCTTCCATCTTTTTCGTCCATAAGAATTGTATTTTCACAATTTCACATAACATTACGTTGCGTTTTACTTGTTTCTTTGCAGATAAATAGTCGTGATTCTGAGCTGTTAAACATCAAAGACAGATACAATGCTTCACTTGAAGAGGTAATAAGGCCCAAAAGAACGAATCACAGAAAGGTTTACTCCTAAACTTAGCGCGCAACATTGTTGCTGTGGCTGTTGCTCGTTCCTTTTGCATAAGCACTGGAAAGTTCTTGCGCAAAAAAAGTYACGAAAAAAGCCCGCCTTCAGTGCGCAAGTGCAATACATAATCACTATAACTACAGTACATTGTATTACTGGCAATCCCAAGTAATCAATTGTCTTTCTTTCTAGATACATGCTTTTGAGAAAGAAATTCGGCAGCTCAAAGCACAGCGAGGAAATGCTGACTATGAGGTAATTCATAAACCAGTAGACTTGTTACACTTAGTTCTCAGTTCAAAAGGGACACCCCCTAGTCCGCCTAGTATCCGTATTAGTGACTGTCCGTATTAGTGAATGTCCGCATTAGTGAGTGTCCGCATTAGTGAGTGTCCGGTTCATGAAGGTCCGTATGTTATTTACCGGATGGGAGGTCCGTATAGGAAAACACTGCCCGAGGTCTTGACAGTACGGAACGAGCGCAACGAGCGTGTTTTCCTATACAGACCGACCTACAGCCGGTAAATAACATTTTTATTTTTTTTTTTATTTGTATTTTATGGAATTTTGCTCGCAGCCTAGCTGCAGGATACCGTCGGACCGGGCAGATCGTGAAAAACCGGACCGCTAGCCAATCATAGCGCGCGAATAACTAGGATACCGGACCGAAAAAAAAAAAAATGTTGGTATTAATTAGTGCCCGCATTAGTGAGTGTCCGTGTTCATAAGGGYCCGCATTAATGAGTATCCGCATTATTGACTGTCTGCATTAGTGAGTGTTTTGCTTTAATATGTATCCACATTAGTGAGTGTTCGCAATAGTAGGTGTACGTGTTCACAAGGGTCCTATAAATGCGAGTGTCCGYATTCGTGAGTGTTTGCTTTAGTATGTTTACAGATTAATGAATGTCCGCATTAGTGAGTGTCCGCATTAGGGAGTYCGTAATATCGTGGTTTCCACACGTCAGTAGTTGATAGTAATATTTACCGTCTACAGCTTGAAAAGAACAAATACTACGTCCAACAACTCGAAAATGACCTGAAGAAATGCCGAGAACAGATTGCTGAGTCACAGGAGCAAATACAGGGCTTACAAAAAGAAATATACAAAGTCAAATCATCCGCGGACGATCAGAGAGATGCCTTGGCGAACGAGGTAAGTCTGGTGAGCACATCGCGATGGAGGGATATAAAAGACCCTTTTTTGAGGAACGGATTGACCTATACATGATTTACGCAAAACTACTACGAAGATATTACCTGTGTTGGAAAATAAACGGAGAAGTCCGAATACATGTACATCCCGAATACTTCGATTACGTACGGATTTTCAGGTGTTAGCATAGTGTCTTTAGAGTCTGCCCAGGCACTAGCCACAAAAATAATTCAATGATGAATAAAGCAATTTKAATCTTCAACAGGTAGCCGAGCGTCATGACATCATAGTAAGATTGAAATCAGAGCTTGCTTCACTTGATAAYAAGTTCCGCGATGCCTCATCTCAGGTAATTCAGATTGTAGTGCAATGATGATGTTGTTAGARTACAAACACTAAAACTGTGCAACATAAATACCACTTAATACTGCTAAATTATGCTAATTCTATTGTTTTCTATTGTTTAATTAACACTATTTTGTAGTAAATAGTGGAAAGTGCTGCACACATTTAATGTTTGTACTCTACAACATTTTGTATGTAAATGACTTAGMCTTCTCTTCATTTTGCTCTTTTGGGGTCCCTCTGGTATCCCTTGAGTGGGCCACAGTCTTCCTCGGTCATATTGAGGGACAGGAAGCCCAAGAGTAGAAAGAAGAGCRGAAAAGAAGAGAGACGCCTGYGAAGGACGCTAGACATTACTGCATTTTCAAGTCGGAGAAAATAMAAGCGCGTCCCAGTTTTCCGTTGAGCAYATAATATTTTATAATACACCTGTCCCATTTTGGAATTTTATTTTTAAACATTTRAGTTTATATTTTCTATCGATTATGAATTGTTTTGTCAAACTTGTGTCCTTCAATCATAATGAAGAATCATTTATATAAATGTTTTTAACAAAAACTTCTAAATATTTTGAAACTAAACGCTTTTACTTAAGAAAAATCAAAGTGAATTTCAATCTTAACGTCAACCGTTATTGACGTAATCGCCTTTMAGAAACCTAATCGATCTAATTATAAATCTTATTGTTTGATAATTCAAAAGATGACAATCATCGCATACCAGCGTGCAAAGCCTGTCATCACTCCACATGATTAGTCTTTGTCCGTGCATAAAAGCGTCAGGCTTTCGGAGGGAATTTGAATTTGCAAACGTAACGTTTTGTCTACGAAAGCTTTGAAATTATACCGAATTTACTGTGTTTTTGTAACGGTTGGCGSTTTGAAACTGTACTTGTGTGATTTTCGCGTTTATGGTAAGTATTTMTGAGCAGAAATCAGGGTTTATTTTGAAGTATTTGAGAGATAAGGTTGGCTAATAATGTTTGAGCTCATCGTTTACACCTGAACGTTTTGCTACATATTCTGTGTACTCGTAAATAACTTTGACTATGTTGTGCTTATTTTAGGTTGATAATTGTAGAGCTATTTTACTTGACAYTTGGAATTACGCTAGTTGGTTTACGTAACACATCATTTTTTAGGAAAAAGTTATACTTTTCTGGTTATAAATGTTAAGTTTTTGCGCTCTTTATTTACAATTTTAGGCCACTAGATCACATATGTCTATGATAACGTTTTGAACGTTGGTTTTTCGTCCATCCTCAATGCCTGCAATATCAAAGCGTTTTCTTATTTATCATTTTATCACCAATGTTTCCTTAGAAAAACCGTCTGTCACGCTGGTTTAAAATACYAGTTTTATCTTTAGTTTTATTAGGTATAATATTCACTTAAAACCAATGAAAGCTGAAAAAATAACCGCAGGATTAGGTCTAAAATTCGTCACAAAAAGGACAGGAATTTTCTTTTAAAATTTTTAGAATTTTCTCAGTATTTCAAGAAAAAACGTTTTTCGGCAACTCATTCATCGTATGTTGATATTTATGAAATCACTCTAATWTGAGTTATATTTGATGTACAGGATGCGTAAATTTACTATGATTAGAAAATTGTGATAATAATAAATCATTCATCTGAAATTTCCAATACCAAAAAATTAGCAAAAAGGCATTTTCTTCGTTGCTTTTTTAAGAATTGTAAATTCCTTCAACTCAAAAAATGTTGAAACAATCGAGAATGTTGACTTTCTCTTTTTATACCTGTAATGGAACCAAATACAATCGAAAAATTAAAAAAAAAAATACAAGAAATTATTACACGACTAAGTTTATAAAGATTAATAAGACTAGAATCATGCCATCATTATCCAAAATCCATTACGATCTGACAGCTTTTTTTACGATGTTATCCTTCCTCGGACTCGTTTTTGTCATTCTATATGACTTCATTATTCAATAAGTATTCATTGAATTTCAATTAGTTTTTAATATATTTTAATTGTACTCAGACTCTTTGTTTTCCAACAATGCCTTCCCAGGCTTTTCTTTGTTTTTGAAGCTTAACTGCTTCGTACAACACATTTATATTCATTGAGCTTACCCAGGTGTGCTTGGGACTGTTACTGTTTGCATTAGACTCTCTAACAAGCTTAACGAGAAGTACTTTAGATTCGTTCAAATAAGCCAAATTTAGATGAATGTCTTAAGTAATCTTGAGCGAAGTTAAAATGAAGGAATTGTGACGCATTGTGGCGGGAAACTCAACTWCATCATTGTTTAACGGTTGTTTGACTCTCAATTATATTCATTTTGAGAATGTTTTTCTACGATTCATCTCAGGTATTACAGCGTCTAAGCTTTCTTTGTCAAAACRGGGAGAAATCARGGTTTGWAGGCATGTTTTTATTGAWCTTTTGTTTGTTTTGTTTCAGTTAAGTCACAGAAATCAAGTTCTGCAAAGGATGCGAGAAGAGGGAAAGGAAATCTCTGATGAGGTGTGAAGCGTGAAGCGTCTGTTAAGTTTATTTTATATTTAACCCAGAAAAAGCCGTTTTTACGCCTTGTTTTTGATTCTTTAACCTCCATTTCATCGTTTACAATATAATGGCTTCGCAACTAATTGTTAAAAAAGAATGATCCGATCAGAACCTTATGGATATATGACTTCAAATAATTTACCTTTAGAAAACAATGTTGTACAGAATTTTATCTCGATTTTGGGTACATTTTTACCATATTTATATTCTTTGAAACGTTATCGTCGTTATCAGCTGTGTACAGTATTTTGATATTATCTTGTTTTTGCGTATTGTTAAATCTTTTGCRACCAAACAATCAAAATTCTCGGTACATATGACCTGTCTATCGGCCACCTGTCGGCCTAGTCCGCTTGACTTCGTTCGATTTAGATGTACAGTCAACTTTCGCCTTGTGGGCACCCCTATAAATTACTAAAATAACTCCGTTAAAAGCGGACACTTGCTATTGCGGACACTTATTACATCCACGATGGTGTCCGTTATAACGAGGGTTGACTGTACTGGYAATAACTCCCTTTACAGTGGACACTMGCTTTTGCGGACACTTATTTACAGTMCCTARGGTGTKCGTTWTAACGAGGGTTGACWGCTATCTCTTCGTTTTTCTCATCTACAGAGAGATGACTATAAACGCAAGCACTCGGATTTAGAAAACAAACTTAATACCGCTAATAAACGAGTAAGTAACTGTATGTATAGTTATATGTCTTTCTTATATCGTATGTACTTAGTGCTACAAAAAATGAAATTGGGGAGGGGAGGGGTGGAGCATGTTTTTGGAAGCTACAAAGTCAATCGTGCTTAAAACGTCAAAGCAACAATACGTTTGAGACCTATTTCGTGAACCTGATATTAAGTACCCTTCAGCGAGGAGCTACATTAATCTTTTGCAAAGTTGTGTGAAGTACCCTCTAGGGTTGTGTTACTACAGCCTCCCTCGCCTTTTGCAATCTTGTTTGTCGATGAATTGGTAAGAAATCGCTAAAGAGCGAGGAAAAGAAACGTGTGTACCGCGCACAGTGGGAATGTGAGTAGAGTGTTTTATTCATTTTGAAGAAGTTTGTTGAAAATTAGAGAGTGCAATAACACTGACGCACGTTATAAAAGAGAAAAGCATCGTAAATTAAGTAGGAGGGATGGGTTTCGGGAATAGGAAAATCGAAAAGATCAGTGTTATCTCTTTAGAAAAAATGTATGATTTGCTTCTCTGATAGACAGATGTTTTTAAAGCAAATATCTTCTCTTTTTCTAGATATCTGACTTGGAAACTCGCCTTGAAAAGAAAGCAATCTCGAGCATGGAAACGTCGGACCAGCTTTCCCACCTCGTAAGTTCTTGCACCTGTAACTTATCGTTGCCTGAGTTGTAGTCTTTTTGACTTCATTGCATCGTTTTATTATTTTAGCTCGAAGAAAAAGACAAGTCAATTCGTGATTTAAGGTCGGAATTGTCAAGTGTCAGAGAGGAGAGTCAACATTCTGCCAGCAAAGTAGGTTGTATAGTCATTGATGCTGTTGATCTTACAGGGGCTGATGTTTCTGGTGTTGTTGTTGCTGATGTTGTTGCTCCTGTTTCTGTTGTTGTTGCTGCTTTTGTTATTGTTGTTGTTGCTGCTGCTGTTGTTGTTGTTATTGTTGTTGTTGCTGTTGCTGCTGTTGTTTCTGTTGTTGTTCTTGCTGCTGTTGTTGCTGCTGCTGTTGTTGTTGTTGTTGTTGCTGCTGCTGTTGTTATTGTTGTTGTTGCTGCTGCTGCTGTTATTGTTGCTGCTGCTGTTCTTGCTGCTGTTATTGTTGCTGCTGCTGCTGTTGTTGTTATTGTTGTTGTTGCTGCTGTTGTTGTTATTGTTGTTGCTGCTGCTGTTGTTGTTATTGTTGTTGTTGCTGCTGCTGCTGTTCTTGCTGCTGTTATTGTTGCTGCTGTTGTTGTTGTTGCTGCTGTTATTGTTGCTGCTGCTGCTGTTGTTCTTGCTCTAGTGCTGTTGTTTTTGTTGTTGTTATTGTTGCTGTTGTTGCTGTCGCTGCTTGGCAATGATGCTGGCGATGTTGTAACCGCAAGCTCTTGCTATTGTCTCTTGTATCCAGTAATTTGTTGTCGTAGTCAGTTGTTGTTGTTGTAAAGTATATGGTTGGGATATTTGTCTTTTTGTTTATGCTGATGAAGCTTCTGTTGTTGTCGTTGTTGCTGCTGTTGCTACTGCTGTTGCTACTGCTGTTGTTTTTGTTTTTGGTGGTGATTTTAGTAATGTTTTGGCTATTTTTGTTGCCATCGTTGCTGTTCTTGTTGTTGTTGTTGTTGTTGTTGTTGTTGTTGGTGGTGGTGGTGGTGGTGGTGTTGATAATGTTCTATTATCGTAATTGTTGTTGTAATTGTTGCTGTTACGTTCCTCTATTCACTGTATTTTTGCAATAAAACTGTTTTTTGGTTTTCAGATTTCACATCGTGACGAAGCAATCCAACGACTCCAATCTCAGCAGAAGGAATGCCTTGACGAGGTACAGAGACCCTTGAATCTCAAAGTAAAACGTGTATTACCTTACTCATAAGTTCTATTTTGCCATTTTAAAGGTTTCACGGAGAGAGAAAGCAATCCAAAAACTCGAACTGGAACTCCTTAACGTCCAAGAGAACTATCGAAGATCTCAAGACGACGTAAGACCAAAATCAAAACGGCTTTCAATAAGAAGACAGTCTAGTTCACCTGCAATCTTTCAAGAATTTGATAATCTAAGATTAGGCGCTGTTAAACGTAGAAGAAGCTCTACGGCTCTACCCYTGTTATGGCTGTAAATTTTAGTCTTGAGTTCGCATTCTCAAATTCGTCGAATAGTGATAGATTTAGGCTATGTGTAGAATCGATCTCTGGAGTTTGAATTTTAACTTARAAACCTCGAACGTTGTAAGAAAGAAGTGCAAAAGCTTGTTTGTTTTTCACAAAATTGTATTAATTGTATATAAATATATTGATAATTAAAATAAAASACTWAGAGGATAGTTTTGTGTTAGTTTARTKTTTAGTTACGAACAAGGAAGACAGGAAGAACTAGGTAGGTTGGATTTGATTTGATTTGGTTTTGTCTTTYTGMTTGACTTTRTTGTCTTTCTTTAGCTTGGTCGTCGTGATGAAACGGTCAAACAGCTTGAGAACGAAGTTCAAAATCTCCGCAAGGTGTACAGCGAGACTGTGGAAGAGGTGAGTAACATATGTCACGAACTCATTATTGCGTGACACTTTCGCCAAGAACACATACTTGGTAAGGCAAATTTACGCGATGCCTTCCCTTGCGTGCGACTTAACGTACAAGACGTAATGGAACCGTGTAACTAGACGCGGATGACCTGCGACTTTTCTAAGACTATTGAACCAAGTCTCAAAATCCTACAACACGTCGTAGGGATCGCATGTACACTTCAAGTCGCGCACCTCAAATCGCATCGTGTAAATCAGCCTTCCCGTCGGTTGTGGTTCTGCGGTTGTGCGCGCCGTTGATAAACAAGAGTGGTACGTAAGATTGTGGTACGTAAGCTTTTGCAGATACTACCGACGACACGTATCGGAAACGCACGCTGCATAATTTCAATTCAAATTCAATTTTATCCGGTACAAWATAAAACTACTCAAACTTGTTGCCAGTCCTTTCTACTTTACTTGGMCTCAAGAGAAAGTAACTTTGTAATTTCCTGCGCTGTTTGACGATGGAAATTCTGCTTCAAATTCTCCGCGTTATTACGTTAACAGAACGGCAAACTTCAAGCGAAGATTCAAGCGTACAAGATATCAACGCAGAGTGAACACGAYGTACTCGCAGACGAGGTTAGTACGGTGTTTCAGTTGACTCAAGTCAGGGTCGGATCCAGGACTTTCTTTGGGAGAGGGGGGACAATGTCAGGATCAGACAATGCAAGTAATGAAGAGGAGTGTCAGWCCTTACCTTCAAACGGCCTCATCCCCTATCCACTAAATCTTCCTTAAAGTACAGTCTGAACCCCCCCTACTTGACCCTAAAGAAATAATGATAATAAACACTGCTTTATTCCTTCCCAAGGTGACAAAACGCGAGGACGCCATTCATAAGCTGAAACTGGAGAAGTTGGCTTTACAAGAACAACAAGAGAAAGCGGAGGAGAATGTATGTACTCGCTCTACCCTCCCTGGGACAAAAAAACCCCGCCGCCATCCCCTCCCTTGACCGCCTTCATCCCCTCCCTAAAAAAAATTCGCCTCTCTCTTTCTCTCTCTAGACAATCAAGCATTCTAATACGTATTTTTTGTTCTCAGATTCGTGAACAAGAACGAGCGATAGACAGGCTAAGACARCAGTACGAAGATTGCCTTCAAGATGTAAGTGTTTTCGTCCAATTTAGCATGATTTAACAAACTTTAAAAGAGAAACTAGTTTAATAGGTATTTTTGAACTTGATTCCCATCGTTCCGTTTTGTTGTAAACTCGTTATTGCATACTGTCAGAGAGTTTTTATGATTCCACAGTCCGGTGAATATCTCTGGTTCAGTCAGTGTCGTTTGTGATTGTCCTGTGAACTAAACTCGATGTCGTTTTTAGGTTCAAACAAGAAACAACGCTGTGGTTGAGATGGAGGGTAAACTGGGTGAAATGAAGAGCAAAACTGATGAATACACTGGGCAGGTGAGAATGATTGATTGAT